ACTTAAATAATTGGTGAGACCCTTAAACAAATAATGCCATCCATAGCTTGAAGACAGCATAGTATCATAAAAGTAACAAACATTGAGGCACACACGGAAGTCTGTTAGAATCTTCTGATCTATTTAAATAGCTATACTAAACCCTGTCTTTGATTTAGATTTTACTGTATGATGTACAAAACAGTCTTGTTACTTATAACAGTACATTTCATACCACATATTATGCAACAACTCAGAAACATTCTGTCTTTTGTCTTAACTGACTTTACTTATTAGAAACAGAACACAATAAATATGTCTCCGACTGACAATCAGTTGTCTCTGTAGAATCTTGAAAGTAACATAGTCTACAAATGTATATATATAACACTTCCATGGTAGAATAAAGGATTGTTTCAGTAAAAAACAACAGTTTGACATTGAAGTACTGGATAAATTGATCTTTCGGAGATAGCTTCCAAAATAAGCACTTTTCAACTATAAAATGGCCAATTTACATAGACAGTCTAACCCAGTTATCTATATTCCAATTCTAACAATACCAAAATAAATTGCCTTCAGACCTTGGAACATATTCATTACATTTTATGCTGACAACATGGCTCACAATTGTATAATAAATGCTGGATTTCATTCTTCAGCTTACCTACTAGCTGTCCTTGGGGGTCATATATGAATGGGACCTTTAAACTAATCAAGATTCGAAAATATTACTATCTAATGTCAGGCAAGCCACAACTTTTGAGGTCTAAGCTTGAAATAAAATAAGATTAATGCTATCAACCTTAACAAGTGTTGTATAATTGGACATAGCAGTGTAAAAGGTTTGTATACTGCCCATTTGATTTTCTAAAATAAACCAGGATGTCTTTGTATGTAAACATCAGTAAAATTTGGAATTGGCATTATTAGACAGCATTTATTTGAAATGTTTTGAAGTATATGTGATGTCTTTTGGTTATTTATTCTATTAAGTTGCTGCCTCATTGGCATATAACCAATATCTTCTCTTATTAGTATAAACTTTTTGATTTTTACTGATGTGCAATTTTTCCACATTTTCTAACTTTACCATTACTTTCAGCATGGATGAAAAGTAATTAAAAATTCATTGTTTTTAAAATTTAGCTTTTAACAGCAAACCTGCAGAATACTCCTACCCACACAATTCTCTTTATATCATGATGAACAAATTATACAGAAATCATTTTGACAAGTTCTTTAAAATTGTCCAGGATTCTGAATTTATACAACTATTTGAATACCAGAATATATTTCCATTTGAAAATCAATATCCATTGTAAGATATAACTGATCTTAAAGTCAAATTGTATTCAACTTGTTTGACATCAAGAAAACAGCTATCAAAATGCCATTAATGGCCATCTCCAATTATTTGAATATTTACAAGAAGATTATTCGGAGATTTGGTAGTATTTTACAGAAGGTTAATCATTCAATGTTGTTTTCAATCTACAATTCGATAGATTTTCTATTTTCATAGCTACGTACTAAGTATTATAGTTGGAAATTTATTTTTATCTCGTAAATGCTTTATAACAAAACTTAAGCATCATTTGGATTACACAAGATGTTTTTTTTAATGCTAGTTCTTGGTATGCATTTGATTTTTTTTTTTTTTTTATAAAAAACTGACAAAGTGATATTTAAGCAGGTAACAAAAACCTCTTGTTCTTATTCTTCTGATTTCTGTAATACTATCAAACAATACAATGTTATTTTTTTCAAAATCTCATCTTTGACAGTACCAATTATTTTTGACTAGTACAGTTATCATAACAATTTTCTGTTGCAAAAACATTGGGATCATAAGAGGAGAACCACCAGAATTAATATGCACATCCTTGAATTTTTTACATGGGGATTTCATCAAAAATTAATTCAGTCAACCAATTGCAACCAATAAAACAATCTCAATTTTGTATAGTTCTAATTTACATCTGTGATTTAATTTTTAGTTCAGTAAGAAAAGAGGTATAGCAAAATAACCAGCAATTCTGGCACTGTATGGCAAGCATTATAATAAGCTGAGAGAAAAACATAATGGTTGTAGGAATCTGATATGTGTTGGATATAAAATGAGACTACTTTCACAAGATTACTGGTAAATAAACCAGTATGTTGACTTGATTGATGATTTTATTCCTGATCCCTAACAGAAGATCATAAAAGATGACCTATAGAACTAAAACCATGAAGGAGAAGACCTATAAAATATCTATTTTTATATAAAAAAATTGCTCCTATAAACTATTTGGTATCAATATGTAGCAATATTACTATTCCAGGGGTGTTTATTGACCCCTACTACACACGAGGGTCACACAGTAGGCTCTGGCTTATGCCTTTCTTGGCATCTTAAATAATTCATTTTATCCATATTGTATTTAATGTTATTTAGGAAACAAAAATGTGGTTTGGGTTTTGCTCATTGTTGCAGGCCATACAGTGACCTATAGTTGTAAACTTCTATGTCATTTGGTCTCTGGTGGAGTGTTATCTCATTGGCAATCATACCACATCTTCTTATTTTTATAAGATATTTTGAAGAAATGAACACATAAAAATTGAATATCATGTAGCTATATGCTTCTTTTATGTAATCTCTTGTTATCTGTCCATATCTTATGCATAAAACAGCATAGATACATGTAGTCCAACTTCAAATCATTTAAATTTGTCATGATACACTTATTCTTGACGTGGACATAATGTATGGGAGCAATAACATTTTATGTTCTTTCTACAAAAAAACATAAACTGAATGTTGACCTTAACTACTAGAAATTATTTAAAATGACTAAGAAAAAAGTATCCATATTTTCATCAGTGACACACATTTCTCAACAACATTCATAATTCAGAAAATACTTGCAGCTTTCTGAAGAGTGTGCACATAAATAAGAGGCTCCTAGGAGCCTGTATAGCTCACCTGCTATTTTTGCCAAAAATCAATTAATTTATTTGGTGAAAATATATAGTAAGATGATCTTGCCATTCTGAGGAATTTTGCCCCTGTCATATTTTCTTTATCTGTTATATGGTTTTCAAGATATAAGGCAATTAATGCACTTTACCCTTATGTTTTATTTTTAGCCATGGCGAGCATGTGGTTTTTAACTAAACAAAAAAAAACATGAACTTTAAACATGTACTACTTATCCAAAGGATCCTTCCCCCAAAATTGGCTGAAATTGGTTCAGTAGTTTCAGAGGAAAGATCTTTGAAAAAGTTAATGAATAACAAAGAACTGATAAATGACAACAATGATGCAAAATGATGCCAAAAGCTCCCTTGACCTTTGAGATCAGGTGAGATAAAAATGATTAAAAATTTCAAATATCTATAAGTTTTGAACAAAGACTATGGTCAAAATCAATATGCATAATTAAAACATGAAGTGTGACATTTTGACCTAGTTAAAAACTGATGCATATATTCAACATATATTAACATACTAAATATTAATGTGCTCTAGTAACTGAATTTTTAATATCTTAAAAGCTTTGCATAAAAATTTATAAATATTATATGAAAATGCTATGTAATGGACTGTCCCTATTGATATATTTCTTATCTCTAGAGGTTTCAGATCCCTCATCTTACTTATCAGTTTACCTGAGGTTATTTACTCTGAGGACCTGATAATAGGGTACATTATGTTTGTGTAAGCTAGCCATCTTGAATTTTTTCTAACATATTATCTTATATTTCAGAGTTAAAAATATGTATATACCAATATACAGAATAATTTGTATGAAGAGATTCTGGTAAAGACCATGGTTTATAGTGTGGATTCATCATTATTCATCCGATACCAATTTTTCGTGGATTGCATCGGTGCAGGTGAACCACAAATTTCAATTTTCAAAGAGTTACACATTTTCTATAGGCTTGTATGAAGACTTTGGCAAAACCATAATATCAAATATCTACAAAAATACCAATTTTCATCAATACTAAATTTGGTACCAACAAAAATAAATGAAATTCACATAATAGCCTACATTTTCATATAAGTTTTTAAATATCAACAGAATAGGTCAAGGATAACATACCTATGAAATCACACAAAAAATATGCATGTATGAAAAAAAGCATGCAAGTTCTACTAGGAAACATTATGTTAAAAAAATTCACATAAAAAAAAAAAACAATTGTGTCATATGCTGATTCCCAAGCAAATACAAAGTGCAATTTCAACTGGAGCTATAATACATATGAGAAATAGTTATTTGTGGAAGTGCTCCATGCAAAATATGTGCTTAGTCACTCACTTCTTATTACTTTCAAAAGTTTACAGTTATATATAAATGTTATTAAAATGTATCAAATGATAATTCATGCATAAAAATATGCTCTAACACATATTGTAAAAAACTTTTTGGGTACAATGAAAGTCACGGTCTGTATACATAGATTATGAAACATTTCAACATTTGTAAGTGTATGACATGTGGCCTAACCAATGGGGAAATATAGATCTGATCATTTGGTCAGTGTCCTAACTAATGGAAAAATACAGATTTGAAAAGCATACTACCAGTACCTAACTACTGATTAATAAAACTAACTAAAAAAACAATATACAAATCTCTAAGAATAACATTTCTGACAAGACTTAACATAGAAATTTACATACAGCATACATCATTAAAAAACAAAAACAAAGTTCAATCGTTAACTATGATAAAAAAAATACATTGTAAAACCTAAAGGCATTAATATATTATTTTTTTTATTTATTCTGATGTCTTTTGAACATTTGACATGCAGGAAATTGGAGGTTATAGTGTATATTGTCAAACAAAAATAAGTGCAAGGGAAAACAAGATCATATGTTGAATATAAGGAAGTTATAGTTTGAAAAACATAAGTAACATGCGAAAACTTGTAGATATCTTCAAATGACTTCATGCTGATCCAAGAAATCCTCATGCTTGTTTAATTTTCCGATATACTTTTTTTGTCTTACTCACCCATCAACGACAAGACATCAATACTTGCTCCCATATGAGAAATCCATGTAGGTGGCAATTTGGAATCTACAGACTTTTGTCTCAGCGTCAGTGGGGATGTTTTTGGTGTTGATCTTCCCAAAGGTCCTTCTTCATCATCAATCCCGGCAAAATCATATCCTTCCACCTTCAAATCATCTGCTTCACTATGGGCACTGGTACGTTTAGAAAATTTTCTTTTCACACTGTGTTTACTCACCATGTACTTCATCTTACTGAGTTTGGATCGATGTAATTTTTTGGTTGTTTTTGGTATTTCTGGAACATGAATTATCTCCCCTGTGGATGATCTTCCTTTGTAACTTGATGATCTTCTCAAATTCAAATATTCTTCCATTTCAGCAGATTTCTCCTCAGATTCACTGTTGCTTTCATGTTCTAGGAGAGACGGACTGGACTTTCTTCTAGGAATAGGGACTTGCAGTAAATTATCTTCATTTTCTTGTTTACCTGCAGAACTTTTCAAAACTATAACTTCCTTATTTTCAATACATGATACTGGGTCCACGAGATTCATTTCGTCTTCGTGTTCCTCAAGCCATTCTGGGGGTCCCATCCAAATTTCTGAGGCTAGATCAGCAAAATTTAATTTACTTGTAGGAGAACTCCCTGATTCACCCCCCTGTTGAGCATTAGATAAAGTGACCTCACCTGTGGATTTGCGTTGTCCTTCACCAGTATCAGCCTCTACACCACTTCCAACACCACTATCTACAGAACGATTTTCTATGCTGGTCACAGGAACTGACAGTTCTTTAGTACTTCCTGAACGTACATTCCCTCCAAGTTTTCCAAGAGATTTAAAACTAAATCCAATATCTTCTGGAAGCTTTTTAGTTGATAACACTTTTTTAATCCAGGTCCAATTTGAAATTTTTGACTTGCGCTTTGCTGTTGGTGACTTTGACATTTTCCTGTCCATTTTCCCATTTTTATGATAAATTCCTTCTTGACTATCATCTTCACCTGATTGTTCCATTATGTCGGACGGTATTTCAAGAGATCCTGTGGAAAAACTACGTTTGTGAATCTGAGCATGTTTAGGACGTTTTGGACTAGTGTCTGAAGATGATTCTAATGATTCACATGAATCTAAAACATCAATGTCTTCAGCACTTGGTAATCTTGGTCGAAAAGTCCTTGATCTTTCTTTGGGAGATTTTTTAAGTTTTGATTTCACTGGCAGTGAATGATAACCTGATGGGATTGTTATTTCAGTTTCTACAGCACTCTTTGCCTGCAAGAGAGTTTTAGTACTTTCCAAATAATCACATTTTTTCTTTAATTTGGAATTTTCATCTTTAAGTGTAGATAATTGTTCCATCAGTTTCACTAAATTATCTAAATGATCTAATCCAACACTTTGACGTATCTGACTTGGACTAGTAGAACGGTCCTTCTTCGCTTTTGGCACCAGAGATTTAGCTTGCTCTTGAAATGTCTTTCCTTGCTCTTCAAAAAATTCCAGAACATTTTCATGCTGACCTTCTTCTTTAAGTGGAAATCTTGACCTGCTTTCTTGATCACTTTGATCATCTGACCTTTCCTTCTTTTCTTGGCCATGCCCATGAATGTCTATGACCTTGGAAACAACAACGCTACCTTCTGCACCAAGTGTCTTTGGATATTCTTTACCCACAATTCTCTCAGCATCTGAATCTTTCCGTTGATCAGTGTCTGTCACAGCTGATGACAGAGACTGGTCAAAGGGTGAAAAGGTCATCTTGATTTCTCGTCTTTCCAGCTGAACCGAAGGAATGACCTTCCTTTCTGTCTGCTCAACACTGACATACAAGCGTTCACGATTTTCTTCATCTGGAGGTTTCTTCGCTGCCATTTAAAGACAGCCACATGGGTCTACATTTGACCTGAAAAGAAAAATATAAAATTTGACTTTACATTTATGCATTGGAACCATTACTAATTTACACTACAGAGAGACAAATTTAGTTCTTTTCTTCCACAAATTTTTGTTACCTAAAATTTTACCTGCTGGCACATCTTCAATTGTTTACAGTACCAATTTACTATTTAAATGGTGATCAATGAAGGCCTAATCCTTTACCTAACAGACAAAATGTTCTCAGTTTTAATACTTTTTGCATTTTTTTGTGTTACTCAACCAATAGCATTTACAAAAAAAAAATGTATATCTTTTGCACATGATAGAATTTAACCAAAAAATTGCTCAATTTATAATATCCTTAAATTTTACCAATTTAAAACTTAATTAGATAAAACCTCAGTCTTCAAAAAGGAATGTTTATATTGAAACATAAACCACAACTTAGTTAAATGTCCTAGTCTAATGGGTTAAATTCATTCTTTTTTTAAACCTGGAAGGCAGAAATTGTCATGTTGGTCCCATTTGTAAGGTCAACAAAGTCCATTACACTAACAGTTTTATTTGACAAATGGTCATTTGTTAATGTCTATACATTGACAAAGAGTTCATTTCATAGACTTGTTATAATTTAATTTTTCACCCTCAATAAGTCATTATCTATGAACACTTGTATAAATTTGAAAGAATTAAATGAAGGCAAGATTTTTTTTATCCTATCTACCACTAACATTTTTCCTTCCTTTCTTATTCTCTTAATTGATTATCCCAACTTTAAGTGCAATATAATACTTGCAACTCTTTTAGGTCAAATGTATAAAAAGTAAAATCACAAAAATACTGAACTCCGAGGAAAATTCAATCGGAAAGTCCCTAATCACATGGCAAAATCAAATGACAAAACACATCAAACGAATGGACAACAACTGTCATATTCCTGACTTGGTACAGGCATTTTCAAATGTAGAAAATGGTGGATTGAACCTGGTTTTATAGCGCTAAACCTCTCACTTGTACGACAGTCTTATCAAATTCCGTTATATTTACAACGATGCGATGCGTGAACAAAACAGACATTATAAATAAAATAGTCAAAATATCATGTTTGCCATAAAAGATATATGAATGGGGAAGCCATTCTCTATTCTGATATTTTATCAAGTGATGGTTTTGAAAAGGTTTAAGTTGATATTGTTGGTTGAATTAAAGGTACCAAGTACTAATTTTTCTGTGTAGTGCTTTGCGTCCTGTGGTTTTTTTTTCATTTGACAATGATGTTGTCTGCCTTTTTTTTTTTACTAATGGTTCTTGATTTTCCCCCCATTGTATCTAATCATCCAATTTAAAAACAAAAATATTTGAAGATTCTTTGTTGTCAAAATGGTCAGAATAATAGTTTCAACAGAAAATTTAAAGTTATACACAAGACATATACAATACAACTTATAGTAACATTTCCATTAGCTACTTGACATTAAGCAACCAACAATCAATCAATGTATGACCTTTCTGTATTAGAAATATTTGTTCTCAAGAAACCACAAAGCATATAGTTCAACAACATTTTTGCTCATTTACTCATTATTATTATTATGACAGACTAAGTATTGACAGTATTTTGACCACAAATATTTTGTTATAATAGGATGATCTTATGAAAAGACCATTCACTGTTTATTTATCATCTACTACACAGTGTAATATTCTTTTATGTAAACAATGCTTGGATTTAAGTAAATACTTATATAACACTTCATAGTTTATTGTCCTTGTTAACATTCATCATTATATTTCATGATGGTATATTCTTCAAATAATGAGTTGTTTTTTTATCAACAGGAACTTGTAAAAAAGATGCAATATCTTGTTTTGATATATATGTATATATATATATATGCCTACACAGTGTATATCAGTTAATTGTTTAGTTTCTAGAAATGCAGTTATAAAATTTTAAGTGATGCCAAAATCCTCTCAAGTTTCCACCCCTTAGTAGTAAAATTACTAAATATTTCTTCATGAATATAACAAAAGTATTTAGTTTACAAAAATATTCCCTCCAAAATCCTGTTCTTATAGACCTTTCCTCATTTATGACATTAGAATAAATCACTTGCCATGATGAACACGACAGGTGCGCCTATGGAGCAGGAACAGGCTGAGCTTACCATCCTAGTCCCCCCCCCCCCCCTTTTTGTAGTAGGATTAAATCCAAACTGAATACATTCAATCCTAAACTAGGTCGAGAAATTTACATGTACACAACCACTAATGCTTATGAATTACATTATATCTTAGGTTTAACCAAGAGCCAGCTACTAATTGGCTATTGCATAATACATAACAGTATTATCTATGTGAGTAATACTGTGGATTCATTATTATTCGTGGGATATCAATTTTCGTGGATTTCATGGGTTATACATGAACCATGAATTTAAATGTTCAACGAAGTAAACATTTTTTAGATAAGCTTGTTGGCAGACTTTTGCAAAACCATAAAATCAAATATCCACGAAAATACAATTTTACCCCATTCCACGAAAATCGGTAAACATGAAAATAAATGAATCCACAGTAGGACAGGTGTCACTACTGAAGCAGAAACTGCTAATGTTCTAGGAGCATCTGAGTTTACATCTTTTGGCCATTGTTTTGTCTGTTTTCTTTTATGTATGGTTTGTAATTGCCCCCTTTGTATTTTTCTACCTTTTTACATCCAGTATGTATATATATATATATATGCATAACACCTTACTATTACAACAAATATCCCCACAAATTTAATCAAATTCAATGAGACATGCAGAAGCTGACAAAGAATTAACTTAGAATTTCAATATGACAGATAGTGGATATATAAAGAGGCAATACTATTTGAATAGCAACATCAGGTAGGATTCTAAGTCCCTCAAGTATGAAAAATTTGAAATAAATTATCAAAGCGATATTGTAAATTGTTACGTAACATATGACTTTCAAGCTTGAATACTTAAAAATCACACGAAGCAAAGTATGTGTTCTATTACAATTTCAGATCTAGTAAGCTTTAGACCTCAAACTGCCTTAGAAATCAAATACAACATATGATTATGTGTCATAGTGATTTCTAAATGTCTATCACATTTGTATTAAATGAGAAGGTTACTTGCTTCTTTTGTCTAAAACTCAAAGATGCAGTAAAAACTTTTTGTGGTACATGTATTACTTTTGTTTCCTGAAAATTTTAAAGGGTATCACTTTGTTATTGCTTAATTCTTTAAAGTGAAATTGGAACTGTCTTTAACTTAATCAAAATCAAACATGAAATGCCAATATGCTGTACATTTTCAAAATGCTATAGTTCAAGAAAAATTTTCATTTCTTTAACTGCAAGACCTTGGTAATCTATTTTGAAAGAAATCATGACCCAATTGAGAATTCCTTTTTACCAAAATAATTTTCTTCCTAGAAAATATATATCCTTGTCAAACACTTTAATCAGTTTCAGGCTTTCCAATGTACTTTCTAAACCAATTTCATTGTAAAAGTGACAGATGTTTTAACATTAAGACATTCAAAATGTCTGTTTCAACAATTCAAATTTGTAAAATAATCAGTCCATAAAATAAAGATGTGTATTGGCCAGACAATAAAGATCAATGTCAAATCTTTAGTAATTTAAAGTTGATCTTTGGATACTAACCAGTCAGTATTTCATGATTTCATCTAGAAAAAGTTTAATCAAGATAGATTATAGTCTTTTCAGAGAGAAATTACAATGATTCCAACTCATTCATTTTATAAAATTGATTTATAAATACTCGAAAATGTTGTATTAAACAGATATTGTAATGTGTGAACGTGCTTCTCCATATTTAATTCTAATTTGTTTAAATCAAGGAATAAAACAAAACAAACTTAATCTTTTTTCTTTATTTAGAGAGCATCAACAGAACTGGTCTCTATCAGAACTATTGGCTTTTAACCAGCCAAAAACTCTCCAGATATCAATATATTTAAAAAAAAAAATAATTTGGAAATATCCCTTTTGACAGGAGGATCAAAGCTCCAAATTTAAAGAATATATCTCCCCATTTTGCCTACTTCTATTTTTTTTTTTTATTATTATGAGTAGTTTTGTTTCCTTTATTTTACTGCCATAAAAAATTGTTTTACAATACAGCTACATTACATGTTGGTTCAATTAGTTAATTAAATTCATTGATGATTCAATTTATTTAATTTTTGATTGTAAGAATTTTAACATTGGTTATATAACCTTGAAAATTCAGAGTAATAATATGGAAAACAATAATAAAGTTCAGATTCTACTGCAAATCTCCCTACAATAAAATTCCCATGAGAAAATCTCCCACTTAAGAACTTGGAATTGTTGAGTACTATACTACAACTAAATTGGTCTGTGTTACTTAATTTTTAGTTTTCAAATACAGAATTCAATTAATCAGAGGGATATGTTCATACAGAATTTATTGTTATATGAATACTTTTTTCAAGTGGGAAATTAAATTAAGTCCTCATGACTATTACTACAGGAGATACCAAAAATTTATTTTAGTTGTGCATAAAACATATTACTGTGCTTAACAAAAATATTTAACAGTGTTCTAAAATAGACAGAAAAACTAAGTTCACTAAAAAAAAAAAGTTAAACGTCAACAAAATGGACATGACAAATAAATTCCTCATCCATATAGGAGTAGAAAATAGCTTTGTATGGACCAGTTAATGTACCGTAAATAGAAAAAAAAATATGAAAAAAAAATTGACAAGCTTACCATCGTAGGTGTATTCAGGTTTGAATGACACATGAAACTTACATGGTGACATAGATGTCACTGTCTTGTCCATCATAAAAGAGGTAATAATTCTCACGTTATTAATTAACACACAGATAGGGTGACAATCATGGCCCAGTTATTACCAAATTTGTGCTATTCTTCATATTGATAGCTATCAAAAAATTTGACTGTGTCCATAAAATATCTAGTTTTTAAGCAATTAAATTTCCATTCAAACAAA